CATCTTTTACTTACCTTAAAAAAAAACAATTTAGAAAGAAGCCGGTTGAAAAATTAAATTTATCATGCATAATCCTCATATCTACTTACAATAAAACCCAGAAAATTATTAAAAAAGACAACCAAAAGAAACTAGACACCATGTAAAACAGAGCTACAGACCAACGACACCAAATCAAATAAGAAATTATGATTTTATCAACTCCAAACTAGGCTTAGAGAATTCACTGAAATCACTTCATGTGATCAAATAAACAATTAGGGTAATGGCACGCTCTTGGGACGAAGGATATAGGGATAAAATAAACATTGAGGGCATTGGCAAGCTTTTGGGACGAGGGATACAGGGATCAAAAAAACAATAAGGCAAAGGCAAGCTCTTGGGACGAGGGATATAGGGATAAAATAAACAATGAGGGCAATGGCAAGCTTTTGGGACGAGGGATATAGGGATCAAATAAACAATGAGGGCAATGGCAAGCTTTTGTGACGAGGGATATAGGGGTAAAACATTGGGGATGTGGGATATAGGGGATAAAAACTGGAATCTGGGAAAAAAGTGGGAAGTTGGATAAAATTACAAACTAGAGGCTCTTAAGAGCCTGTGTCGATCACCTGCATCTACTGCTGTTTTGGAAATCATGTAAAATAAGGTTACAATCATAATTAATAGTATTAGAGACCCTTATAATGATTGAGGCCAAGTTTGGTTTAATTTGGCCCAGTAGTTAAATTAAAAGCAGTTACTGTAAACCCCTTATCATTATTTAAATTTGTTTTCGAGTTGTGACCATTTAAAATTGTTTTTTTTTACAATTTTCCCTTAGACTTCTATAGTAAACCCCTATGTTCTATTTTAAGCCATGGCGGCCATGTTGGTTGGATGACAGGGTCATCAAGAATACATTTTTCAATCAAGATACCCTATTGAAAATTGTGGCTAAGTTTAATTCTATTTGGTCTCGTAGATTAAGTGGAGAAGATTTTTTGTAAAAGATTACAAAAATTTACGAAAAATTGACTATAAAGGGCAATAACTTCTTAAGGGGTCAATTGAAAATTTTTGTCATATTGACTTACTAGTATTTGAAGATCATACTTTGCTAAACATTATTGCTATTTACAGTTTATCTCTATCTATAATGATATTAAAGATAATAACCTAAAACTGCAAAATTTCCTTAAAATTACCAATTCAGGCACAGCAACCCAACAACGGGTTGTCTGATTCGTCTGAAATTTCAGGGCAGATAGATCTTAACTGGATGAACATTTTTACTCACGTCAGATTTGCTCTAAATGCTTTAGTTTTAGAGATATAAGCCAAAAAATGCATTTCATTCCTATGTTCTATTTAAGCCATGTCGGCAATGTTGGTTGGCAGGCGGGGTCATCGGACACATTTTTTTTAAACTAGATCCTCGAATAATGATTATGGCCAAGTTTAGTTAAATTTGTCTCAGTAGTTTCAGAGGAGAAGATTTTTGTAAAAGATTACAAAATTTTACGAAAAGTTGTTAAAAATTGAATATAAAGGGCAATAACTCCTTAAGGGGTCAATTGAAAATTTTGGTCATATTGGCTTATTTGTAGATCTTACTTTGCTGAAATTATTTCTTTTACAGTTTATTTCTATCTATAATAATATTCAAGATAAGAACAAAAAAATTCTAAATTTCCTTAAAATTACTAATTCAGGGGCAGCAATCCAACAACAGGTTGTCTGATTCGTCTGAAAATTTCAGGGCGGATAGATCTCAACCTGATAAACATTTTTCAATTGTCAGATTTGCTCTAAATGCTTTAGTTTTAGAGATATGAGCCAAAAACTGCATTTTACCCCTATGTTCTATTTTTAGCCATGTCGGCCATGTTGGTTGGCAGGCGGGGTCATCGGACACATTTTTAAATTAGATACCCTAATGGTAATTGTGGCCAAGTTTGGTTAAATTTGGCCCAGTAGTTTCAGAGGAGAAGATTTTTGTAAAAGTTAACGGACGACGACGACGAACGACGACGACGGACGACGACGACGACGGACGACGGACGACGACAAAGACGGACGACGGACGCCAAGTGATGAGAAAAACTCACTTCGCCCATTGGGCCTGGTGAGCTAAAAAGCGGGAAGTGGGAAAAAAGGAGAGATTTGGGAAATGAACACACATGCCGTGTCACCCCCTCAAAAAAAATGAGATGAGCAGGCAGGAAGATAAAATTGTAAGGTGGGTGAAGATTAATGACAACTGAGAAGACTTATTGACTAAACGGCGCCGGGGAAAATTGACACCGGAGCGGGAAAAGTAACAGAGAAATAAACAATGAAGATTATCGTCAAATGTGGTGATATAAGTATAAAAAGGTCACAACGAGGTAAAATTATATGTAAACAACCGGGTTAAAGATTACAACCCTGTGATGTGACATTCGGATAAAAAAGGTCAAAATGAAGTATAGAATTTATCTTTTTGATAACACATTTCTTGATATTATACATGACATCCTGTTGCAATTTGACATCTCTTCATATTATAAAGATGTTTTTATGATAATTTTCAAATACAGTCTAAGGTAGGTGTCGCTAGCTATTCAACATAAGGCAATAAACTTTGTAAAAAATTTTCAACATAAGACAAGATAGATAACTTAAATAACACCTCATCCTCATATAAGGATTCATTGGAAGAACAGTTATAGGGAAAATAGCATTCCTCTTATTAATTACTTACTTTCATTATAACTGTTGTTGATTGGTGAAAGAAAAAAAAAGAAAAAAAAAGCTGTCAACTTCCCCATGCATTTTCTTCATTACGACTCAGTGCGTCAACATAGAACTTTAATTGGTGAAACCTAGTAGTATTGGAATTTCGAAGAGTATACACTGTAAATATAAAAATATTTTACAACTTTGTACATACACCAAAAATAAAAATTGGTGTTCTGCACAATACATTGTCGTTAAAATCAATTTTCAGTTTTGACTCAATATTACTGCAAATTTTACTTTTTTGTAGAAAATGTTTGCATCAAAGATATGGAATGTCCTTAATAATTGTTTTGGCTTCATGCAATTCACTCCAAAATTGCGCAATGTATCAAAGCAGCAGTTGAAAAAAATATACACACTTATCATAATGATCTTGGAACTTCAAAGTATAATTAACACACGAAGCTGTGAAACTGTGGGTTTTAGAAAAGTTGAAAAACTGTTTAAATGGTCCTGGTACAAATAAGTTATGAGGCAATTGATCTTTTATAGCCGTTTATGTCAATTTTGATTTATTACTGCAAATATTTTCGAGTAAATTGTTGCATCAAAAGTAGGCTATGTAATTAAGTATTGTTTTGGTTTCATGCTATTATATGCATTCAAAATGCGCCACAATCTTAGTATCAAAATTGCAGTTTTAAAAATATTCACATATTGATCTTGGAATCTAAAATTATAAACAAACGAAGCTGTGATACTGTTGACTTCATGGATATTAATTAGAGGAACGGAAGGACCGCGAAGGACTGACGGCCAATCTCATTAAAATCCGATGTTGTGATACGCTACACACCCTCTAAGGGTGGAGAGTATCGTAGCAAAAACTAACAGCTGATTTTAATGAGATTGGGTGACGGAAGGACCTTTTTCGAGACGTCGGTATGAATACATAACAACTCGGACCAAAGAAAACTCGGACCAAGACTACTCGGACCAAGACAACTAGGACCAACTTTAAAGACAACTCGGACCAGTTTTAAAGACAAGTCGGACCAGCCTTAAAGACAAGTCGGACCAGGTTTTTGACAACTCGGACCAGTTTGAAAGACCAATCAGACCACTTATGTAGCTACACAGAAAAGTTTGAAAGACTACTCGGACCACTTTTTTATAATTTTATTTTATTTTAAGATATTTGTTGTTGTATTTATAAACGGTATTAGGACTTTTTGTTTGCGGGAATTCGGGATTTGGCCTTTATTTTCGCGGGAATTCGGGATTACCCTGATCGGGACTCTGGGAATTAATGATTAATTTTTCATGATCCGGGAAAGAAAGCTTTATTTTTTCAGGAATTCTGGATGACACCCCCTCCTACCGCACCTCGAGAAACGGTTGAAAGATTTTTTTTTAATTACTCCTGTGTGAAGAGGAAAACGGCCATGCATCTTTTTACAGAGTGGAGAGTCAGTCGTTAAACACATAAATTATAAACAATACAGTTAGATTCTGTCTTTGACTTCAATATTCATTATGATTAGGTGATGTTTAATCATAAATTTCGCCTGTGAAAATATAGGTCAATCTAGAAAACTGTATACGTGCGGTTTAAAAATTGTAGGAAAAACTTACATTTAATGATCGATATATTCCTTCTGCTATCGTGAAAGATTTTAAAAGTTCCTGGTTACGTAGTCTCTATGAAAAAACACGGGGCACAATCTATCCCCATAGGGATGTCCTTTGTCTGTTACAACTTGAAACAAAGTAAGCGGAGTTTAGTGTGACGTCCATTTTCATTGAACTAATACACATTTTTGTTTAGGGGCCAGCTGAAGCCCGCCTCCGGGTACGGGATTTTCTCGCTGTGTTGAAGACTCATTGGTGGCCTTGGGCTGTTTTCTGCTCTTTGGTCGGGTTGTTGTCTCTGTTTCCATTCTCAATTTTAAGTTATTAGGAGTTGGGGTCATTTTATGTATTGTAAACCTTAATTTGTATATACTTACCACAAGGTTAAGCTAAATCAAAACCATTTGTTAACAATACCAAAGTTTTAAAAAAAACCGATGCCTAGCCTATCACTGGTACTACTCCATGTATATTACTCCTATATCTTGCATGTCTTACAAAAGCAAAACAAACATTAGTTTTTATCCATTTATTTCACCAGTAGGTATATCATAGATATCTTAGTACTTGTTCATTCAACCTTCAAATCAAACGTAATCATGATGACATGCTCAAGGCGATATTTACTATACATATATATACTATACATGTACTATATATTAATCATTAGCAGCTTAGTTGTCATCCACACAATACACAACGCAGCACTGAATAAATGTGTATTTCCTGTTTTTAATGTATGTATACAAATCAAATCAGATACACGAAGGTAAGAATTTGGTCTAACATGATATCATCAATAGTACGTTCTCTTCAGTAAAATACCGTGAAAAGTTATTGTATATTTTGCTCACTCACATCTGCAATTACAAAAATGGCTTTAAGACTTAAACAGGTTTCCTAGAAATGGATTGTTTTGTATCTAATATTCAATGATGAGGTGATACAGCTTATGGCTTCCTTCATAACCAAAATTTCAAGAGATATTAAAAAAAGACAATTTCGTTGATTCATATGGCCAATATAATAAGATGAAAATACATGCCGCCACCCCACACCACCCAAACCCTCACCCTACTTCCAAGAAAGAGAATTTTAGATCTATCAGACCTTAACAGAATTGCATTTTAAAAAGATTGTATGTGTGCAAGTATTTAAAGGTAGTGAAAGGGATATATAATAATAATACACAATAATTTTTTTATCCAAGACCTTTAAGTGCATCAACTAAATTGCGCTCAGAATGTATGTACATGTCCATGCAAGACTTGACAGCATATTTGTCCTCAGTATCTTAATTGTCTTAAATGTTTTTAAACCAAGTATATCGACAAAAATTAATGTTTGATGTGAATAACAACTATAGGTATATGTCAGTTCATCAGGCATATAATTTAAGCCAGTTGTTCAATCGTCTGCACGGTAAACATGGAATATTGATTTCCATATATAGTTTACATAAATTTAATTCGTTAAAGTGAGACTAAAAATAGTAACATAGTAATTTGTTTTCATTTGTGGTAGATCAATGGAAGTGTCAAACAAAGGATTTACTTACGATTTCAATAATGAGAGACGTGGAATAGCACTGCTGATTCACAATGAAGTATTTGACAAATATTCTGGCTATAAAGACAGGCCCGGGGATAGTGGAGATTTTATCCGAATGCAGGAGATATTCACAAAACTAGGTTTTGATGTTGATGCGAAGAGAAATTTGACAGGTAGACAAATATTCAGCACTATACAAAAAGGTAAGATGAAATGTTGATGAATAGATTATATAAATATACTTTTTCACTTTTTTGGTCTTTTGGAAAATGTTGTTTGTGCTGTATTTAGACCCCTCTACCAAGGAATTTGTTTTACATGCACACGTATAAAAATTGCGGTTTTTATCCAACGCAATCATAGGTTTGAACGTTGTTTTCAATTTAGACTTGTTTATATATATAATATATATATATATTAAAATATAAGGAAATTTGTGAGTATTCTTCAATTATACAACCACACTAAAAACTAAAGATATCTTCAACTTGTGTCTTCCGAGCTCTAAATCATCCGAATCGGGGGGAAATTGAGAAACAAATTCCTATAGACACTACCAAAAAATGCCATCCATACAAACTTCCATCAGCCCTTCGATTTATTGACGGTTCGCGAGAGCAGATTTAAAGCTCTCTATGCTTGTTGTGCGCACACTTGTGTCTTATAGCTGGTTCCAGTTAATTATTGTGGACACAAAGAATGAATTTGTATGTTGTGGCGTTTAACTGATGGGTATGTCAAAACACCTAGTATTGTTTCTCACATGTTTTTCAATAATGCTAGTAGCTTGGTAGTTATCAAATTTTTTGGCTGTGATGGTTCTTCTTGGTCTTGCTGATTTTAAGAAGTCGTCCCACTGGACGTTAAGCAACCAACAATCAATCAATCAATAAGAAGTCGTCTGGATCAATAGCGGGAACCAGCCCATCAACCACCTTGTACGAAAATATATAAGTTTTTGACTTGTACGTCTGTGTCTCTTTTTGTCTCATTCAGTGAAAAGACAATTATTATATGAAATAACCTAGAATTAACATCACTCTATATACGGTAAAGTATCACTTAAAGAGTAGTTTTTGAGTCAGACGAATATCTCTGTTTATGAAAATGCCATATTTGAAGCTCTATGTCATATCGTATCAACTGAGAGATGTATATCTATGTTACTATACGAGATGTACATAAGACAAACTGATTTCGTCGCTTTTATCATAAATTATATATACATTGTACATGTAGTTAAATCCCCGGTTTTTAGTGGTTTTCGCTTTGTTTGAATTCTTTATTGAAGACCCATTGGTGGCCTTCGGCTGTTGTCTGCTCTATGGTCGGGTTGTTGTCTCTTTGACACATTCCCCATTTCTATTCTCAATTTTATTTAGTTTTCTGTGCTGTGAAGTGTTTTGTGTAGTGTTTGTCTGTTCATTTTAGTTTCATTTGGTCATTATGCTGTTTGTTTTTCTTCGTGGTTTTTATTGCCCCCTTTTGGTTACCATACCCTTTCATTCTATGGATATTGAATTGGCAAGTGAATAATGGCGGATAGATGTGTCAACGTATATTAGTTCCGCCTATAGAAGTTCCCCCACAAACTTTGTTATAAACAATGCCATATATGTTTCTTTTGGAACACATAGTGTATTTATTCCGTTCGGAACACATACTTTAATCTTCTATCCAGGGGAAAGAATATTCTAGAAAAATATTTTCCACATTGGGAACTTATTTTATGAAGGAACTTTTATTACATGACACATGCATACCCAGAGATGCTAATACAGTCGAGCTCTTGTTTTTTCTTGACTGAACTTTTTACATCTTTTGGGCATGCACAGGACTGTCTCATTTTGATTAGACATTTATGGTAATTTGAGAGGGGGAGAGTTACCATTTGATATAAAACAGTTTTTACAAACTCAAAAACTTTATCCCCCATATGAAAGGTAAAATATAAAGGCAAGAAGTATATATATATTATCAGATTTATTATTTACTTTCAAATTACTAACACAGATGTTTGTACCTCTTGTATCTTAAAAATTTATTTACCTATATACTTGATATAAAATATATATTAAAGTATATATGTAATTGTTTATAGAGATTTGCTGTTTCGTTCTTTCTTTTTACGAAAGATGAAATCCGAAGTTATGATATCCTCAAATTTCAACTATTTCGAAGTTTTGCCATTTCGTTTTAAAGAAAAATGAAAGGTTGAGGCTGTTAAAATGGTATATCGATTTCAGGATATTGATACACGCTATCGAGTGCAAACCTCACTAATCTTATCTGAAATTTCACGGAAATAATTTCTTGAAGAACATTAATTTTATTTGTATTATCAACATGTTTTGTCGTGAAAAAAATATATCAGTAAAAAATACGAATATCTGTGTAGTACTACGTGGGTGAATTCCATATTTGATTATGTAATAAAATAACGTCTAATGTCTAATGTCTATACCAGTCAAATGTTAAAAGGTTGTGAGGAATCACTAGCTTTTATTCTTCAACTATTGTATTTTCAGTTTCAGAGTCCAAATTTCATGAAAAATCCGATTGTTTTGTCTGTGTCATTGCTTCACATGGAGAAGAAATGCAGATTGAAACTAAAAACAATGTCATTATCAAAGAACATGTCATTGTTGGCACTGATGGACAATGTGTCAAAACAAGTGACATTGTAGAAATGTTCAATGAAGACTATTGTGAAGGCCTAAAAGATAAACCGAAATTATTCTTTATTCAGGTAAGCTGCAAACTCAAAGTAACAATTATTTAAACTATTCCATTTTTTTTCTCTCAAAATTCATTTGTAGAATACACAATTTCTAACCTTCCCATTTATTACTATAACAATAATGTAGTTAAAAGAGTCTTTTTATTGTGCTTTCGAGTATGGTCCACTTCATACGATATTTTTTAAATGTTGATTGTCATGGCTTTTTTTAAACAGTTTACATAGATACATATTGTATATAACCTTTATGTCATATATAAACAGATTTGTTTCTTGCTTACTCAGTTATACCGTTATGTTCATGTTTGTCATATGATGTGATTTCACCATACTGTGCAGCTAACTGTTCCGTTCATGAAACAGTCATTTACAATGAGGAGAGTGGAAATAACACCTGCATAAATATTATTACTTTTTTTTTACTACCGCTAAATATGATGTTTGATATTTTATAATTTTTGCATGGTGTATATATTTGTATTGTATTGTCTATATGCCTTCAATCCCCCGGGGTATAAATGTGCATATCATTAATAAATTATAAAAAAAATTGCAGGCTTGCAGAACAAGTAATGCTACCGTTTTGGGAATGGACAGTGGGCATACACTAACAATAACAGAACGAAAGCAGCCGCAAGGTGGCATTGTTGATGGCGTTGAGGATATGCAAGTTGACTCTAAAATAACCGATAATGTTGATTCCAGCTATATACCAACACATGAAAATCAAAAGTCCAACAATGAAAACTCTCAGTGTGAAGATAACCTGGAAACAAGACACTTATTATCTGCAGAAACGTACCTCAGCAGACGACAGCTAGTTCATCAGGTAACAGACGTTGAATGCCCTGAAGATACTTTACTGATGTTCGCCTCTTTATCCAGTAAGTACATACATGATTTCCACATTTTGTTTAGGTTTCGTATTCCTTTCAACTATGAGTTTGATTAAAAAAAATTACCATGATAATCAGAATTTGATATGTCATATTTTCCTCTCCTATTGTGTGTTTTTCTTTTATATCTTCCGTTGACTTCTTATAAGGTTAACATTATTGTTATTTCGGTTAAGTATATGCATGTTTGTAGTTACATAATATTTTATTTCTGTAAAACTAGGTCAACATTTTCACAAAATTTATCGTGTGATTGAATTTTAGTGTAAGGATTAAATGTGGAATTATCATTTCCGGCCAGGGATTGAATAAATAGTGTTATTTCTTATGCAGCAAAAATACTGCAATCTGATTGGTTAATTACCCCGGTGTAAATAACACACCACCCTTGTTCACCTCGGGATAAATAAAATTGTGCCAAAATATTAAAAAAAATTGGCAAAATTTGTAAAAAAATAAAATGTAAAAAAAAAAAAAAAGATAAAAGATAAAAAATAAATAAATTTGAAAACAAAAATTTGTAAAAAAATTAAAATTTTTTTTTTTCTGAATTTCCCCCCCCAAAAAAAAAAAATAGTATTTGACAATACGCAGCAACATCAACGTTGAAAACGTATTACACTGGAAATTTTTCATTAGCATTTTTCAATTTTACATCCCGGTTTAAAAATGAGTAAAGGAATTGTTCATCAGAAATAAATTCGTTATCTTGGTGTAATCAGGGGTGTACGGAATTTTACACCGTTGTTGAAAATTCATACACCCATTCGGCTGCGCCTCAGGGTGAATGAATTTTCAACAACGGTGTAAAATTCTGTACACCTCTGATTACACCAAGATAACTAATAGTATCTCTGTCAACGTATATTTGTTCCGTCTAACAGAAGTTCCTCTTGAAACAACTTTATTATAAACAATGCCATAATATCTGTTCCTGTTGGAATAAATATTCTGTACCCTTTATTCTGTAAGGAACAAATTTTGTAATATTTGTTCCAGTGGAGATAATATTACAGAATATTTCTTCCACTTGGAACTTATATTATGAAGGAACTTATGTTATATGACATCTCACATAGTTGCGTGAGGACAGGATCCTGAGTTGAGCCCCATAGTCTCTCCCCTTCATTTATCATAAATCCCCGATTTTCCAATATATATCAGTTATGTGTACCATATGAATAACAATATGCCATATTTTTACTCTGAATATACATGTTTACTATCAATTTGCCACTCGACTATAGAGCAAACACAGGATCCAGTCCTCGCGCACCTAGGGTATCTCACACCCGACTTTTAAAGATATTACTATTGACAGGACATTTGAGCTTTTTAAATTGACATTTGCCCTTCAATTTTTAGGATATTTGCGCTTTATCAACATAATATTTTAGTGTTGGTGCTTTATGATTCCCCTTTTCGTTTACCCGGGCCGGAAGAAATTTGTGTAACTATTCCCCTTCTTCACATGTACAATTTGTATTCTTAAGGGGACCATAATGACTGATGCTTGTGTCAGATGAAAACGACAACATTTCTTCGAATTATTATAAATTCCTCACAACAACCAGGACTCTTTTTTCAAGGTCAACGTGAACTGTACAGTACATGCGCAGCAAAAAAAAACACTATAAGCAAAGGAACAGCGCTTTTATTGCTGTTCGTCATCATGTCTTTTTATTGTATTGTTTGGTTGCTGTCTGTATTATATAAGATTATTCATAATTTTGTAGATAATTTTGCAGTTCGAAATTCCTCTGCTGGTGGCTGGCTATTAACTAGTCTGTACAGTCAAATCAAGGAATATATAGAGACTGGTAAAATATGTTCGACAGAATTTACCCAAATTCTAAATGGTGCTTTGAAAGAAATGACGACAAAGAACTTCAAACCATCTGATATCACTTCACGTTTGTACGGAGCATTTTCTCCTGGCTGTTTTACGCATTGTTTGTCCAGGGATGTATTCTTTCTGGAAAAGCAATACAAATAGAACTGTCGCCTTGTTGATCATATGTTTTCATATGGATGACTTGTTTGAAATCAATTTATTTCTTGTTGATTCTACATGCATTTAAACCAACGAAGTCATGAAATGATCTCAGCGTATAAATTTATTCTTTGGCTTCATGTTATTTTCAACTAAGCTTACATAGTGTTTAATTTTGCAATTTTGTCTCTTCAATATTTGAAATTACATGTATATTTTAATTATTACAGCAGTGACAATGATAGACAGTTTCCATTACACAGAGATTACACAGTGTTCACATATTACATGAACAATTGTTGAATAAAGTTTGACCTTAATTTCAATAAATACAGGAACCTCTTCAGAAAAAAAACCTCATCCTTGACTATGAATTATTATTTACATTTTTCCTACTAAGTGGTACAAATTATATTTAGTGGTTTTTATGTGTTTGACTGCACTAATTTCATCAAACTTGATAAAATCTAGATATTTATTTAACTGCCCTTACCTTAAGCTGAAAAATGACAACAAAGTGTTGTCCGTTGAGATGCAAACTCTACGATAAAGTAATATCTTCAATTTTGTTATGTTTTGTCTTGGTTTTTTTTATATTATTTGTGGTAACATTCCACTACAACTAGCGTGTAGGGTGTTTTCTCTGTTGATAAAGCACATACATACGTATTGCTGATTTCGATTATTTTAATAAAGGTCGATACCCACTATGAGCCTTGTTGCCAACTGTTTCGAAGATTGCATATTATTGTTGTTTCATTTTAGCTCACTTGGCCTTAGTTCATGTTTGTCCTGCGGCGGCGTTGTAACATTTTATTCTCTTCAACCACTGGGTTAATTTAGATCTATCTTTATAGACATTTTCGAAAACTATTCGATACTGACGCTTATACCTATGCCTATGCCTACAGATAACCTTCTTGAGAAGGGGTCATCTCAATGTGTACAACGACCACAGGCATTTATATTATATTTTTATCTAATTTTCATTTTAAATACTGTATAAACATTTATTTTGCATGATTTGCTTCTTTATTGGCACTGTTTTGCAGCTGAGAATTGACCGGGCTTTGTGTAAATTAGTAGAACTTTAATCAGTAACAGGAACGTGTAAAGGATTTTATAGCCTGAAATACAACGTATTAATATATAGATGATAGTTATCTTGGTGTTATCAGGGGTATACGGAAGTTTAGACCGGTGTTAAAAATTCATTGTAAAATTCCGTACACCCCTGATTACACCAAGAAAACGAATTTATTTCTTATGAAACGTTCCTTTACTAATTTTTATACCTGAGTTTAAAATTGAAAAATTCTTATGAAGAACTTCCACTTCACATTTCAACACCGATGTTGCTGCGCGTTGTCAAATATATTGTTTAGTCCCCTACCGACGAAGTGGAAGGGGACTTTAGGTTTTTTCTTTTAATTTTTTCTTTTTTTTAACTTTGAAATTTTTTGTTTGTCTGTTTGTTTCGTTTGTTTGTTTGGTTTTTTTTTTTTGGTTTTTTTTGTGGAGACTTAGACTACACTGAACAATTTTTATTTTGAAATGTATATTTTCTACTTGAGTCACCGAAGCGTCCATTACAAATCCTTAGACCTGTTGATTTACACAATTTTATTATACGCTTTGTGGTACCGTTAAAGTCCACAATTGTTCTAAAGTCCACAATACCGCTAAAGTCTACGACAAATTTCCGCTAAATTTCATAACGCCGTTAAAGTCCACAAACTTTCCGCAAAAGTCACAAAATGACCTGCTAAAGTCCACAAAAAAAACACCGTTTAAGTCAACACAATTTTTTGTAATTAAAAAAACAATTCGCTTTTTTTTATCCCGGCAGTAAAATAAAAAGCATGGACTTTTGTTCTTGGTAGTTATTTCTTATTAGCTTGAATTATATGTTTGATAAATGAAAAGATTACAGTATCTGTAGAAGATTTTGATCCCTATAAATTTGATCTGTGTATTGTGATTTTCTGTGAATCCAACCGGCAACAGTTCTGAAAAGTTATCTAGCTATGGTGCTCTTTTTGTATTCTTTAGTAACTATTTGTGCATCCACTAGAAAGACATAGCTTTCTCTTTATGTATATGCTAGAGACACTGACATATCTTGGAGCCTATATTTGACATTGAAAATTCCTTTGCAAATATCTATAAAACATGAGAACGAAATCTATTCAGTTTCAGTCAGGCTCAACAGCAGCCAAAACAGTCCATAAATCTCAAAGATAGACTTTAAACCATAATGCTCTTGTTTGAAATCAAAATAATAATAAATAAAAAAAAATTATAAGCGTATGCTGTTCTGCATTGTGTTTTACCCATGCCTGATTAGTACTAGTATTAAAGATTTTATTTCAACAATGCTACATAGATACATGTATAAGAAGATGTGGTATGAGTGCCAATGAGACAACTCTCCATCCAAGTCAAAATTTATGAAAGTAAACCATTTTAGGTCAAAGTACGGTCTTCAACACGGAGCCTTGGCTCACACAGAACAGCAAGCTATAAAAGGCCCAAAAAATTACTAGTGTAAAACTATTCAAACAGGAAAACCATCTATATAAAAAACGAGAAACGAGAAACACTTATGAACCACATCAACAAACTACTGAACACCAGATTCCTGACTTAGGACAGGTGCAAACAATTGCAGCGGGTTTAAACGTTTTAATGGTACCAAACCTTCATCCTTATCTGAAACAATAGTGTAACATCACAACATAGAAAGACACGCTATAAAATATCAATTGCAATGACTTAACTCAATCAAATATGTTGTAGGTCACTGTAAAACAATTTGAAGATGCAAATTTTATCAAAACACTCCTAACGGAAATTGATTGAACTTGCATAAACGAGGTTTTAGATTTAGATGAGAAAATCATCAGACTATAATACCATGCATTTGTAGAGTACTTTACACAAGACCTTTGAACACCAACTTTACTTCCGGTTAACCAGTTAATAGGTCGAACGATGATCCGAGTAACCTGGTCGGCAAAACTGTTCAATTGATAACACTAAAATAAACATTTTACCCTGATTTCAAGTTTGTCAGGAAAGACTAAACAAATCAAAGTGGCCTCTCGTGTCTTAGTTCCATCCATTGATTTGTTTGGTATCAAGGATAGGAAAGGCGATCAACATTATTTTCGTTTTTTGGTTAATAAACAAAAAAGTAAGAAATGAAAATTAAAAATTTAATAAACGACAGGAAATTCTGTACAACATATACATATCTAAATATTATCAAAACTAGAGGATCATGTGATCTTAAGCTTGTAACGCTCACTTGACCTAAATAAGCTCATTGCTGGATTTAAGGAAACACATAGTTTAAGCTTTTTCTATTGAAGCGTATTCTAAACTTTGGACCTCTAGTTCTCGATCACCATGGACATACATTTCTTCAAACTAAAATCTTCACGCCCTGAAGCTTCGTGCAAAAATTTAATTAATCTTTTGCCGAATTGTCATTTTTTTAGCAATGGTGGCCATCTTGGTTGGCTCGCGGGGCCATTGGATACTATTTGTTTCATCGAATATATTTTGAAAGAGGACCACCCGAGGACCATCCTCGCGGATTTTTTTTTTTTTCAGAAGACTAAAATGCGAAAAATTACGACGAACGTCGACAATGACGGTCGCTGAGTGGTGGCAAAAGCTCGCATGTAAGCAAAAAGAAAACAAATTAGATTAAAATCTATCGAAACAAAATACATTTGGTAGTTAACCAGACATAATTATGAAAGGGCAGCATTCATGGAGCATTATACCAAAGTTTGGTTCAAATTAAACAAATGATTTCAGAGGAGGAGATGTGTTTATTGTGGACGAACGGACGACGGATGCAGTAATGGCATTTAGCTTACATGACCAACAAGGTCATGTACTTGGCTTGACTTTCAACCGTACAATAATGGCTTCGATATAACCCTTTACTCATAATCTTATACCGAAATCTACATCTTTTAGACCCTGTACCCTACACATTCTCAGTCAAACAATCATGTACTTCTTTGGAGATTGTGGAACAAGGTAAAATCAATACTAAATCAAATGTACAAATACTCAGAATTCTTATCTAACTATTTCATTCGTGTAAAAAATCAAACACTGCCTTTTATGATAACTAGTAATTAACTGACAGAAAGACTTTCTGCAAATAAATGAAATTCAACTTCTTACTCTTATTATAAAAATCAACATAACTTTATAATATACAATTTATATATATTTTTTTTTCTATTTTTTAGTAGTTTACCTACTAATTATATCAAATGTTAATCACTTGTTATGTACGGATGTTCCAGACCATATACCCATTTGGACCATACGCGTACGGTCTGCCTAATTTTAAGAAATTGGTCAAATCTAGAATTAATAAGAAAAGTTGTAATTGAAAATAAAAACTTAACTAAATACAAAAGTCACGCTACATTGTAACTTAATCTGTTAATCTCCTGTATTAAGCATGTCAGTAATACATGAAATTGAGTTAAAATTCGAAAAAATATCTATACGGTCTAAATACTCATACATATATAACCAAACGAGAATAAACTCATATGGTCCGACCATACGCGTATGATCGGACCATATGCAGAGTATACGCATATGGTTATGCGTATGGTCCAAATACTCATATGGTCTGGAACAGTGATATAAACCTTTGATATATGTTTGATAAAAATCTGGCAAGAATTGTACACATGAGAGCACTTATAATGCAATTTTCCATATTTATTAAAATTTCCATGGAGTAAAAATCTTTTTAAAATGGTTGATCGCAATTGACCGATACATTGCTGATATAAACCTTTGATATAAGTTTGATAAAAATCTGGCAAGAATTGTACACTTGAGAGCACTTACTAAACTGGACGGACGGACACACGAACACACCGACGTCGCGCAGGGGACAAAAATATACACACAATGATCTTGAAAATTCAAAGTAGAAGCACACAAAGTTGTGATACTGTGAATTTAAGTAAGGTTGAAAATCTTTTTTAATGGCTATGGTGTAAATAAGTTCAGAGGAAATTTACCATATCTTTTAAAGAGCGGAGAGTCGGTCGTTAAAAATTCAAATCGAAAATATGAGCTGTATACTACACTGTAAGTCAAATTCTGTATAATGTGCTGACAAATTTCTGTTTAATGAAAATATATACATGTATTAACTTAATCTGCCCTTGTTCTTTTGCCATCTTAGTCTTCAATATTTATTATGAATACTGTGATTTCGACTATATATAAGTGTCGAAGGTCAGTCTAGAAAGTATTCGGTATGAAAAATAGCTAGGAAAACTTAGGAAACAACCATTTAACTCTAAGGGGGGTTCCCAGGGGGGGTACGGTTTTGATTTTGATAACTATTCTGATTCCCAACTTTGAAGAAATAATTATTTTTTATCAAGTAGAAGGGAGGAAAATAAATCTGATTGAGAGTTTTGTCTTTAAATTTATTGGTAAGTTCTTAAAACAATTAATAAAATGAAAATAATTATGTACGAAAAAAACGTAATCCGCCCCTTTCAAAGTTAAATGGTCGTTCCCTTACAATTAATCAATTAATGGTCTACTCCTTTTGTTTTCGTTAAAGATTTTCAAAATTACCCAGCATATTCTGGTTGCGCACGCAGTCTCATTTAGAACAAAAACACGAAGCGTTATCTAAAACGGTCCATAGGAACATAGGAATGTCGATTGCATGTAATAAATTATACAACGTACTTATATGTTATCTGCAGCGGTTAAAAGCTTGAATGATTTAATGCATGTTTACAGCTATACCATTTATATATTTACTTTAAAGTAATTCAGGTACTTGGGGACAGGACAGTTTTTTTTCCTCCCCCTTTTTTACCAAATACTTTTTTTTTTTTATCGTTTTTCCTATTCTTTTAATTATTTTCGTGTTTTTCTGTGAATACTTACACAAATATACTGGAAATAACATTTGTATGCCCTGTCTGAATTTAAAAAAACAGCAAATATTATTAGCACATGATCTAGCAAGTATAATACACCTTATCGCTATTTGTCCGCCATTACTGGACATCACAAAGGTTCCCGTAAAAATTTGAGGTCATAATAGAAAACATCTGTGGCCACAATGGAAAAGTGATTGTTCAAGAGGCGCAGATTCTAGGGTCAAGCGGCGCAGATTTCCAAATAGCAATAAGGTCTATACCGCTCCGCATCTAGTTTTTCTTACAAAAGAAAGTAACAACATTCGCTCTTTATCGATTTTGAAAGCAGTGCATGTCACAAATAGATGTCTTAATTACTAGTTATACTGATCATAAACCAACTGGTTCATTCAAGATTCAAATCAAGCTTAACATGCTAAGGACGATATCCTAAACATGACGTCAAATACGGGTTTAAAATCACTAACATCTCTATATATGCATATTGTCTTTCTTTAATTGTTTAACATTTCATACCGATATAACATGTTACTTTTATTATTCTTCCCTTAGTTTATTTATTTTGTATTTACATTGTATCATAGGTCAAATTTATTTGTTCAGTGTATGTTCAATGGTGTTAATATGTCCTTTGATTGAGTTAAGCTATTTCAGTTGATATTTTATAGTGTGTCTTTCTATGTTGTGATGTTACACTATTGTTTCAGAGAAAGGGTGAAGGTTTGGTACCATTAAAACGTTTAAACCCGCTGCATTTGTTTGCACCTGTCCTAAGTCAGGAATCTGATGTTCAGTAGTTGTCGTTTGTTGTCGTTTGTTGATGTGGTTCATAAGTGTTTCTCGTTTCTCGTTTTTTATATAGATTAGACCGTTGGTTTTCCCGTTTGAATAGTTTTACAATAGTAATTTTTGGGGCCCTTTATAGCTTACTGTTCGGTGTGAGCCAAGGCTCCGTGTTGAAGACCGTACTGTGACCTATAATGGTTTACTTTTATAAATTTTGACTTGGATGGAGAGTTGTCTCATTGGCACTCATACCACATCTCTATATATGTATCTATACAAAACACAGTCATCAATACCGTCTATATAATGTCGTTTTCTCGTCATATAAAGGTATATCACACCATATAAAGGTATATCACACCATATAATTGAACAAAAACCACATCTTATAATGAAAATAAATATAATAAGACAGTTTTTGCGTTCCATATAAAAAAGTTGAGAAAATTCACAATTTAAGTCTTCAAAAATCGTCTGCATGATAAACTACTATACTAACAACACGAAGACTGGTTCTATAAATAGTAACATAGTCTTAAATTGATTTTCTTTTCTTTCTTTGTGATAGTATAACATAATGGATGTTGTAAACAAAGAATTTACATACGATTTCAATAATGAAAAACGTGGAATAGCACTGCTGATACACAATGAAATATTTGACGAAAATTGTGACTACAACGACAGGCCCGGTGATAATGGAGATTTTAACCGAATGCTGGAAATATTTACGAAACTTGGATTTGATGTTAAACCGTACAGAAATTTGACAGCCACGCAAATAAGGAAGACAATGGAAAAGGGTAAGCTATATACTGTAGAAGCTATTATATGTGAATTATATATGTGAGACATGTAGAGCTATTAGCAATTAGTCAATATACGGTCTGCCACTTGAACACTTCCAAAACCCTGAAACATATATATAGTTAGTACAAAAGATAATGACTGACGAAAAGTGGTGGGGTTGATATTGTACATAAGCCAAAGAACAAAGGTACAAATCAGGAAATGAAAAACACTTACATATATAAATCTATGATAACGCGGTATATTAGACACCACCCCCCCCCCCCCCCCCCCCCCCCCCGCAAATAAATTTAAAAACCATGACAGTGGTGTAACAGTCAAAAATAAGAACAAACTAAAATCAGTATTTCATTATATCCTGACTATAAATGATAGTTTAACTAAACAGGTTGGTGACAAATATAAGAGAAGCGTGACCGTTTATAAGAATATTATAAGCCATAATTCCATAAGTCCCCTACACTTAATACATGTACTATCGACTTTTTTTAAGAACCAAGTATCCTTTCGGTCTGTTTTTTTTTTTATAGACAGAGAATATATTTAAATATCCTGCAAGTTATTTAAGACTTCTTGAGATTTTTTCACCATCATTTAAGCTATATAAGATGACCTATAATTGTTGAGTTTTTCTTGCAGTATAAAAGTAATATAACATATATTCATCTTAAGCTTCGGTTTCTTGTCCTACTAGAAAATGTTCCTGTTTGTTTACATTTTACATCATATTTACGCGGGAAAACATGGTCCGACTCGAATGTTCGCAATATGCAGATGGTTTTGTTTTATGTTATGCTTTTTTTATTTGTAGAAGTTTGAGAGAGAGAATAACATTTGAACCCAGATTTTAAAACTCTCCACATACTTTTAGTTTTAGACAAATGATTTTGTATTAGTTGTTATTGGCTTTGAACTATCTTTAGCATGTTTAGTAACTGCGAGTACTCTCAGATATGTACTTTGTGTATTTTTGGTTGTGGGGGATGTATAAATACTCGGCCACGTCCGGTTTGTGTTTTTGTTAGTTATTTTTCTGCTGCTTTGTATTAATCTGATGAGTTAAGCCCTTTTAACTAATTTCTATACGACCGCAAATATAAAGGTAGGACGTTGTCGTCGTCGTCGAGTATAAGTGTACGGATCTCTAAGAAATTGTACCACAATGTTCCATACCATAAAAGGAAGGTTGGGATTGATTTTGGTTTTTTCTTTGTCCGGATTTTTTAGGAATTAGAGGCCAAAAAGGGACGTAAAACAAACATTTTTCTTGCTTTAGGACAAAAACTTGTGTATGGATTTCTATGAAATTGTACCACAAGGTTCCATTATCCAAAAGGAAAGTTGGTGTGATTTTCGGGGTTATTGTCCTAACTGTTTTGGAAATAGGGGCCAAAAAACAAGCATTTTTCTTGTTTCAGGACAATAACTTGTGTATAAGGGTATAAGTGTATGGATCTCTATGAAATTGTACCACAAGGTTCCATACCTGAAAAAGAAGGTTGGGATTGATTGTGGGGTTCATGGTCCAAAACCGATGGGGTTTATGGTCCAAACCGTTTAAAAATTGGGAGCCAAAATACAAGGATTTTCTTGTTTCCGGACAATAACTTGAGTATAAGTTTATGGATCTCTATGAAATTGTACCACAAGGTTCCATGCCGAAAAAGAAAGGTTAGGATTGATTTTGGGGTTATAGCCCTAACCGTTTAGGGAAAAGGGTCCAAAAACATGCAATACTTTTCTAATACTTTGTATGAATTGCTTATTTCTGTCCACTTTCAATGGGGTTTAATTCAAAGTAATAAATTCTTTGGGCTCTTTAATATGCTGAATCTAACCGTCTATTTAGATTTTTAATTTAAGACTCTGTTTTCAAATTGGTCCACTTTAAAGTCCGAAATTAAACTTTGTTTGTTTTCAACAAAAATTAAATTCTTGGGTTTCTAGTATTTAGATTTTTTTATTTTGGGCCCGTATTTTAAATTGGTCCACATTAAGGTCCAAAGGGTCCAAAATTGAATTCAGTTCGAGTTTAACAAAAATTGAATTCTTGGGTTTTTTTGATATGTTAAATATAAACATGTATTTAGATTTTTGATTTTGGGCCCAGTTTTCAAGTTAGTCCAAATCAGGGTCCAAAATTAAACTTTGTTTTATATGGGGTTCTTTAATATGCTGAATCTAACCGTGCATTTAGATTTTGAATTTTGGGCCCCGTTATCAAATTGGTCCACATTGAGGTCCAAAGGATCCAAAATTAAACTTTGTTTGATTTCATCAAAAAATGAATTCTAGGGGTTCTTTGATAAGCTGAATTTAACCATGTATTTAGTTTTGGATAATGTACCCTAATAGGTAAATGTCAATTTCAAATTTTTAAGTTCTTATAACACATTCTTTCTGTGTCAGAATCCTATGCTGTGTCAAATATTTATTTACAATCCAAATTCAGAGCTGTATCAAGCTTGAATATTGTGTCCATTCTTGCCCCCAACTTTTCAGAGCTGTATCAAGCTTGAATGTTGTGTCCATTCTTGCCCCCAACTGTTCATGGTCTGACCTCTGCGGTTGTATCAAGCTACGCCCTGCGGAGCATTTTATTAAAGTGTGTTCATATTGCCTTTTAGGGGGAGGGTTTTTCGCCAGCAAACATGTTTAACCCCGCCACATTCTGTATGTGCCTGTCCCAAGTCAGGAACCTGTAATTCAGTGGTTGTTATTTGTTGCTGTATATCAAATTTATTTTTCGATTATTATTTTGTACTTAAAGCAGGCCGTCAATATTCTATTTTGAATTGTTTTACATTTGTCATTTCGGGGCCTTTTACAGCTAACTATGCGGTATGGGTTTTACTCATTGTTGAAGGCCTTACGGTGACATATAGGTGTTAACTTCTTTGTCATTTGGTCCTAGGTGGAGAGTTGTCTCATTGGCAATCATACCAAATCTTCTTATTTTTATGTTTACCATATCAATTCTGAACGGACGAATGTATAGGAAGATTTATAGAATGCATCGATGCTGATGATGATACGTTGTTACGTTTTTGTAATTGTGTATTTTCTAGTTTCAGAAATGTCCAAAATTCATGAAAAATCTGATTGTTTTGCTTGTGTCATTGCTTCACATGGGGAAGAAATGGAGTTGGAAACCGAAAACAATATCCATATCAATGAACATGTAATTGTAGGCACTGATGGGCAAGTTGTCAAAACAAGGGATATTGTAGAAATGTTCAATGCAGATAATTGTGTAGAACTTAAAGATAAACCGAAATTCTTCTTTATTCAGGTGAGCACAATAGGCAATATAATGTTTTCATTTCTTGGCGTTTAGCTGTTCCATTTTTCAAACGTAATGTATTTCTTTTGTTGATGGTACCATTTATCACATTACAATTTATTGTTATACAGTAGCTAATAATTCCACAGGAGTATATTTTAGATCGTCTTATTCATTCAAACACTGCTAAATATTGCTAGACATGTTTTATTGTAATAGATTACAATTTACATTATTCGTGTTATTGCTAATACTAGTAGATTACAATTTACTTTATTCGTGTTATTGTTAATACAGGTAAATACATTTTTCTTTCTTAGTGAAACAGACTTTTTCAATAAAGTTATTTCATTTAAATAAATTCCAGGCTTGCAGAACTAGCAATGCTACCGTTTTAGGAATGGACAGTGGACATACAGTAACAATAACAGAACGAAAGCAGCCACAAGGTGGCATTGTTGATGGTATTGAGAATATGCAAGTTGACTCTCAAATAATCGACAAAGTTGATGCAAATTGTATATCAACAAATGCAAACTCTCTGTGTGAAAATAATCTTGACACAAGACACTTGTCATCTGCTGAAAGAACCCTCAGTAGACAACAGCTAGTTCACCAGGTAACAGACGTTGAATGCCCTGATGATACTTTGTTGATGTTTGCCTCCTTATCTAGTAAGTACAAATGTCATAACTGAAAAAAAGAAGGGAGACACCAAAGGGCTATCAAAATCTTAGGTCGAAAAGGGACAGACAACACTCAGACGAAAAGGAAAAAAATAGAAACATTACACAGAAAGCTACAGACTGAGCAACACGGACTCCACTGAAAATTGACGGTAAACTCGGGTGTTCAGGAAGGGTATTCAGGCGCCATTTGTTTTTGTTTATAAAGACAAATTAAAATTCGGTGAAATTATGAACGTGAATAGTAGAACGGGATTTATGTTTTTGACAAATTGAACATATTCGTGGCCATATGATATATATATCCCGTTTGCCTTCACATGAGCTTAGGGTATGGTCCCCTTTTTCTTGTTATATTTTTTGTGTGGAATTTTTATAAGAAATTATTCAATATTTCAACTTATTTTTGCTCTTTTGATATTATCTTAATTGCTCTTTTAACTTATGTCTACATGTTCTTGCTCTTTTCTGTACAATCTTCCAATAACTAAGAGTGCTGCACGTATGCAAGACTGTAATGTAGTAAGTTTCAATATTGTGAAACTATCGCTGATTACAATAGTTTATTGTTATAAGTTTTAATAATAAAATGTCTGCCCAGGAAAAAAAATCGTTTGTTTATTGTTATAAGTTTAATAAAAAATGTCTGCTCAGGAAAAAAAATCGTTTGTAACAGCAAATTTCAACAGAACGGAACATCTACATGTGTGCTAATTCAAAGCGCGCACATCAATAAATATACGTTTATACGAGTTATTTTTGTATTAATGAATCTTGATTGACAGTGAAAATAAAATTTCACAATTTAGATGTGGTTTACAAGCCGGCAATTTAAGACTACTGGACAATTCAAATACATCAGATTTTGTCCGTCATATTTTTGTACATGAAATTAAAGAAAACCTTCTGTATGTTACTCAGTAATTTTGGCTACTTGTAAAATTATTATTTTTTCAATGAATGTTATTATTTAAGGTAGATGGGGGAGGGGGGTCTAAATTAAAATCCATATAATTTTTTAATTATTTGCCAAAATGTAGTTTATATCATGCTTTTTTCAAAAATATAATAAAGCGTATGGGCTCCTTTTGAAGCTACAGATTGTGCAAAATTTTGTATAGATCATGCATGGAAACTCCTATTGTGTGTGATTAAAAGAAAACTTAACCATAGAATTTAAAGATAAAATATGAGACGACAGCTCTTATAATGTGCTTTCAGAAAATAAAAATAAAAATTGGGGACACGAAAATTCGTTTTCCTTCTACAAAACGAAATAGGTACATTCATAATATATTCCTTTATAAAAGTAACTATATCTGAGTTATCTCCCCTTAAATGGCAAAGATGAAAAAATTGAATCAAACAAAAAGTATCCTGTATTTGTAAGAAACAGTTGGAAAAATATCATAAAGCAAATAATTTTCTTCATTTATTTCAAAAGTTTTGTAAATGAATTACATTCTCGCGAAATTTGCCTATTTCATTTACAATCCAACTTTTGAATCTTTTGAACACGATACGCGTGTCTTGCATACAAAATTTTAATCCTGGTATCTATGATGAGTTTATTCAAAGAGCATAAAACACTTTTAAATAATTTAAATAATATAATTCATTTGGTTAATTTTTGGTTGAAGAAAAATGTTTATTTTCTAATTACTTACCATTTGAACCGATTTTGCTTACACACGTTGAATTTTTTTGATAAGGTTCCTTAAAAGTATTTAATAAAATCATTGACCCGGCGCCTCGGACCAATAAACGATACACAGAATGGTAAATTTTCAATCGAAAATTAGGAGAAATAAAAGAACTTAGTATAATGTATTATCAAATGACATTATGTGTTTTACAAATATACGGTACTTTACACACTGTTCTTATATATCCTGTGTTGTTTGGAACAGTTTTCATTATGTAAGATAAATTATAATTTTGTAGGTAACTATGCCGTTCGGAATCCCACTAATGGTGGCTGGTTATTAACTAGTCTTTACAGTCAAATCAAGGAACATATAGACACTGGTAAAATATGTTCGACAGAATTTACCCAAATTCTAAATGGTGCTTTGAAAGAAATGACGACAAAGAACTTTAAACCGTCTGAAATCACTTCACGATTGTATGGAGCATTTTCTCCTGGATGTTTAACGCATTGTTTGTCTAGGGATGTTCTCTTTCTGGAAAAGTAATACAAATAGCACTGGCGCCTTGTTGATCATTTGTTTTCATAGGGATGACTTGTTTCAAATCAATTTATTTCTTGTTGATTCTACATGCATTTTTAAACGTTATTTTGATTTTCAACTAAGATTACATATATTGCTTTTGCAATTTTGTCTTGTACAATACAAATAGAGCTGTCGCTATATTGATCACATGTTTGCATATGGATGACTTGTAACTTGTTGCAAATTTATGTATTTATTGTTAATTCTACCTGCATTTAAATCAATGGAGTCATGAAATTATCTCGTATAAATTTATTCTTTGAAGTTATTTTAATTTTCAACTAAGCTTACATACTATTACTTTCCAATTTGTCTCGTTCCGTATTTATAATTACATGTCTATTTTAATAATTACAGCAGTGACAAAGATAGACAGTTTACATTACACAGAATGTTTACAAATCACATAAACAATTGTTGAATAAAGCTTGACCTTGATTTTAATCCAAAACTGATACAGGGACCTCTCAAGAAAAAAAACGCATCCTTGACTATGAATGATTATATATACATTTTTTCCTACTAATTTGTTCAAATTATATTTAGTGGTTTTTATGTTTGACTGCCTGAATTTCATCAAACTTGAAATAATCAAGATGCTTATGTAACTGCCCTTACTTTGAGCAGAAAAATGACAACAAAAACGCTGAGATTCAAGCTCTAAGATACAAAAAAAAAAGATTTTTTTTATTGGTTTTTGTTTCAAACACCAATAAAAAAAATTCACAAAACGGTAAAATTGTGTTCGTTCCGATCAACATTAATAAAGTCAGTTTTAAATGTCCCGAATGCTTTCTTTTCTGTTGATATTATCTTTGCCAATTTCGGTCCAGCTTTGAAAAACCCGGCCGCTTCAACTGAATACTCGTTAAAAACCCTGACAATGTAAAAAGCTGAAATAGGAGAGAAGTATATGTGTTTTGTGCTCAAAACTTGTATTTAATTACTTGAAAGTCTGTATTATCATGAATAAAGCTGACTTACTTGCGAAATGAAAGTAAACCGATGAAAAAACCTGGTCTGCATTAAAAAAAAACACGATCCCAAAGGGACACTATACCTGATGTGATTCTACTCTACAAATATTCCAGAATTTGATTAACATGTTTTGAGGTCCATGAATTTAAAAAAGACAAATTGCATTTACATTTTTTGTTGTTTTGTGCCATTGCATAAACATTGGTATGATTAAAAAAATTTCAGCTTCACGAAAAAAACCCGAACCCTGCTATGTCGTATGTAACTTTTAATAGTTAACAGTGGCAGATTCAAAGCGGGCTAATAGGTCGTACTCCTTGATTTGAAAATATATAATTTTTTAGCATAAGATAGTCTAAAAAAATCTTGCATCGCTCCGCTCGGCAGTATTACTTCCGTTTTCGACAATCACGCCCCTTTCAAAAATCATGGATCCACCCCTCGTAATGTATTATAAACAAATACGTCATATCGTTTCGGACCAAATAGCAATTAATATACCGTTCGTACACCTCAAAAAATATGTCTGTATTCACTGAAGGAGGGGGAATTAAACTGTCCCAGTGTCCTCCGTGCCTTGAGTTATTTGTTAAATATTTTACATATTAGTTTACAACTATGTAAATAGGTACGTATTTCGACGAATCAGTTAGATCATCCATTAACATAAATACCCAGATAAACATACAGGTAAGTGAGGTGTTATTCAAATCAATATATTTAAAAATAGACGAAGATCGAACAATACTATGGTCTTACACAATATTAGTACATAAATAATATGGCACCATAATTAGCCTTAAATGAAACAAAACTCCGATGCATTATTTAAATGAAATAAATATGCTGATTAAAACAATAAAAACAGAAAAGGCAAAAGTGAGATAGATGGTACCACACAATTCGACGTTCACATGTCCTATGCTTTCTCATACTTCTTCCTATTTCACACAGTATTTAACATATGTAGACAATTTTCTGACAGTTAAAGCCCGTACACAATGTATCTCATATGTCATACTTCAGAATTCATAATTAAATATATTTTCTGAAATGAACACTAATGGGATTCAGTTCTGATATCTTGGAAATAGATAAGACGGTAATGTTTATTTGTTATTCAAGTATTTTAGCTAAACACCTTGTATATTTCACATGTCCTTGGCTATCTCCCAAATTTTGTGGATTATTTACCTGCTTAATTCTGTAAGTAATTTATTAATAATTAACGAGTAATGATTGTGACAGATTGCTGTTTCCAAAGATCAGCCTGTATATCATTCGATTCATCTTGACATTTCAAACAAGAAAATATATATTGTTTAGGGGTGGGGATCAAGATATTTGAACATTTTCAAATTGTATTTTCACAAATGACCAATGGGAACTAATCCCATAGATCATCCAATTCATCTGGACATGTCAGACAAGAAATTGTATGGTTAAGGTTTTGGGATTGCAACCATTTACAAGATATTTCAATCTGATTAAAATTCTGATCTACTTTAACTCGCGTGCTCGTATAAGTATAACGAAATCAGAGAACTACATTTTTATTAGATTGCAAGATATTTAAGCATTCCCAAATGGTAGTGGGTTGTGAATCCCCCAAGAGACATACCCTTTATATCATGCCATGCATCTTGACATGTAAAATAAGAAATGGTTTAGGAGGAGTTATCTCAACCGTTTTCAATTAAGATTTTTTAATGAGGATGACCCCTGGGGACACAGACGCCCTTTATTTCATTTCATTTATCTTGTCATATAGAACATTTTCCATTCATTAGATTCTCCATACCTTATACGGTTTTTTGTGTAGTTTGAAAAATATTGTTCAAGGTCGAAGTTAAGGGTCATAAAGGCCTATTGACCCTTTAACCTTTTAGAAGGTCATATGATCATTACTGTAGACTTCATTTTTTACACATACTCTTCTCAAATTGACAATCATTTAAATAATGTAAAGCTTTATTTGCTTATTACGTCCATAGTGACCAAAGCCATACACACAAGTCATTTATCAATACGTGTAAACATAACATTGAACAGACAACTACATTGACAAATGATACACAAGGTTTTATCTTTTGAAAAAAATGTGTATGTTTAAACATGACAATAAAAGATACCCCTTAGGTTTTCAAAGAAGACTCCACCCTTTTGAATCAGTTTAAGCTATCCTATTTCTAATTATTGGTTCATTTGATTCCAAAGTCATATTAAGTGATAAGTGTCAAATTCAGGGACATGACAAAGGTGGTTAAAATGATCCATAATGGATATAGGTGACCATAGTGGACATAAACGCGCTATGACAAAGTTAAAATGTCACTAGTGAGTGGAAAAACTAAGTCTCTTGAAACGATCAATTACTAGTAACTAAATCATGATGACGACCTTGTAATTGTGAAAACATAGTTCTAATTGATAAGTTAAAAATGAATCACGAAGTTAATAAAAAACGATAAGTTAAAAAAAAATATAATACCCAAAAGAAAAAAAACGACTATAGAACAAGCAACAAAAAAAAAACATATAGAACGCTAAAGTTAAAACAAAAACTAACCCAATCAAAAATCCGTGGTGAACTCGGTAGCTTCATTTTAGCTCTGGAAAAGCAATAAATGTATTCACATTGCATCATCACGATACCTACTTTAAAAGCCAGATAATAAGAATTGTTTTATATACAGAACCTAATATTATTGTCTGATTGGTTGTTTCTTATGGGTTTTTCCCAAAATACTATTGTCGGAAGCAGAGATGCAAATGAACGTTGTTAAAACATCAATCTTTTATCTCTCCGTGGATTTTTTTCACAGGAATTAATATAATTACATTTCGCAGATCCAAATGATTTGCACATACCAAAACCGGCTGTTTGTAATGATTTGTCTTTCATTTAAAAGAGGGACGAAAGATACCAGAGGGACAGACAAACTCATAGATCGAAAACAAACTGACAACGCCATGGCCAAAAATAAAAAGACAAACAGACAAATAATAGTACAGATGACACAACATAGAAAACTAAAGACTAAGCAACACGAACCCCACCAAAAACTGGGGGTGATCTCAGGTGCTCCGGAAGGGTAAGCAGATCCTGCTCCACATGTGGCACCCGTCGTGTTGCTTATGTTATTACAAATTCGGTTAAAAGTCTAATTCGGTAAGTCACATTCGTGAAAAGGGAAGGGTATTGTAGTTACGACATAAGGAACACATCCGATATCATCTGTGAAACGGTTATTCCATAACGGTCAACCAACTACCAACTCGTGATGGCGTCCGTAAAATTTACGAAGGAATGATTTCAACTTCACCATTTGGAACTCTTGGTTTAATAGCTTCCTTGTGAGCAGCAATCCTCTATCAAGGAAATCATGATAGGAAACACAAGCCCGGGAATATCGTATCAATTGGGAGATATATACTCCGTATGCAGGCGCTGCTGGAATGTTGCTACATAGAAATGGAAAGTTCACAATTGGGAAGCTGAAATCATCTCTTTTGTCGTAAAGTTTTGTTTTCAACCGACCCCCATTGTCAATTTCTAGATATGAAGTCAGCCTCATAATAATAAAGAAACAAGTCGGCAAGAAGAAGGGCACAATTGGTTCCCATTGGAATTCCAACAGTCTGTTGAAAAAAAGATTCTTTAGATCTCATAGCTCTATACTAGTATAATTTGTGTACGAATGAATATATAAGATACCACCAATCTTAAATCATACACCTGAATTAAATTTTTAAAGACCACAGAAACAGATGTAAACAATCCAAATATACCGGTATGTTATATTAATATTTTGTTTTTGGCAATTTTATAATTTTACAGTAACAACTATACAAACTTGGGTATTTTTATTTTCTATGATAAAGAGTTCTAATTCTTTTGTTTTATTTGAACGGATATTCGCCTGAAACATAGTTCTAAAAAATGTTTCTAGGAATAACTAATAAACTATTTTTGGCGTGCAATATAACTTTTTCATAAAATTTCTCTTTTGTAGGCTCTGTAGTTGATTCCACATCGCCTTTATTAGCAACTATATAACTTAATGATTATGAAAAATTATATAAAACTCACTCAGAAAGGTTTGCATAGTTAATCTTCCAACATTTTATTATTTTTTTTATTTTTTCTTCGTAGTACGTGTTTGTTAAATGGACAAGATGGACAAAGAATGTGCATATGATTTCAGCCATGAAAAGCGTGGAATTGCGTTACTGATACACAATGAAGAATATGGCCCCGAATCTGGTTTCAAAAATAGACCAGGGGATAATGAAGATTTTAAACACATGTTGGAGATATTCAAGGAACTTGAGTTTGATGTTCACCCTTATAGAAATTTAACATCAACGGAAATATCTAAAAGAGCAAAAGAAGGTATAAACTAAATCATTATTAAAGTTTTATGAGCTCAAGGACAACAAAATTCAATACATGAAAATGTAACATATGGTATTGATTACCATTAAGGGAGTGGGGAGTTAAAAATCAGAAAATTTGCGTATTAAATTTGTTCCCTTTACACTCACTAACTAGTTTGAACTGCTAAAAGGTATAAACAGGCAATTCTTGTCATATTTATGTCCTTACTTTTAGTGTGATTTATTCAATAATGCCTATAACAAACATGTAAAAAACCCTAAACACACAGGCAATCATACCAAATCTTCTTATTTTTATGTTTACCATATCAATTCTGAACGGACGAATGTATAAGCAGATTTATAGAATGCATCGATGCTGATGATGATACGTTGTTACGTTTTTGTAATTGTGTATTTTCTAGTTTCAGAGATGTCCAAAATTCATGAAAAATCCGATTGTTTTGCCTGTGTCATTGCTTCACATGGAGAAGAAATAGAGTTGGAAACCGAAAAGAATATTCATATCAAAGAACATGTAATTGTAGGCATTGATGGGCAAGTTGTCAAAACAAGGGATATTGTAGAAATGTTCAATGCAGATAATTGTAAAGAACTTAAAGATAAACCGAAATTCTTCTTTATTCAGGTAAGCACAATAGGCAATATAATGTTTTTTGGCGTTTAGCTGTTCCATTTTTCAAACGTAATGTATTTCTTTTGTTGATGGTACCATTTATCACATTACAATTTATTGTTATACAGTAACTAATAATTCCACAGGAGTATATTTTAGATCGTCTTATTCATTCAAACACTGCTAAATATTGCTAGACATGTTTTATTGTAATAGATTACAATTTACTTTATGCGTGTTATTGTTAATACAGGTAAGTTATTTTTTCTTTCTTAGTGAAACAGACTTATTCAATAAAGTGATTTCAGTTTAATGAATTCATTCAATAAAGATCAATAAAGTGATTTCATTTTAATAAATTCCAGGCTTGCAGAACTAGCAATGCTACCGTTTTAGGAATGGACAGTGGACATACAGTAACAATAACAGAACAAAAGCAGCCGCAAGGTGGCATTGTTGATGGTATTGAGAATATGCAAGCTGACTCTCAAATAATCGACAAAGTTGATGCAAATTGTATATCAACAAATGCAAACTCTCTGTGTGAAAATAATCTTGATACAAGACACTTGTCATCTGCTGAACAACAGGTAGTTCACCAGGTAACAGACGTTGAATGCCCTGATGATACTTTACTGATGTTTGCCTCCTTATCTAGTAAGTACAAATGTCATAAATGAAATAAAGAAGGAAGACACCAAGGGCTATCAAAATCTTAGGTCGAAAGATGACGGACAACACTCAGACGAAAGGGAAAAAAAAAGAAACAGTTCGAAAAATATTACACAGAAAGCTACAGACTGAGCAACACGGACTGCACTGAAAACTGACAGTAAACTCGGGTGTTGAGGAAGGGTATTCAGGCGCCATCTATTTTTGTTTATAAAGACAAATTAAAATTCGGTGAAATTATGAACGTGAATAGTAGAACGGGATTTATGTTTTTGACAAATTGAACATATTCGTGGCCATATGATACATATATCCCGTTTACCTTCACATGCGCTTAGGGTATGGTCCCCTTTTTCTTGTTATATTTTTTGTGTGGAATTTTTATAAGAAATTATTCAATATTTCAACTTATTTTCGCTCTTTTGATATTATCTAAATTGCTCTTTTAACTTATGTCTACATGTTCTTGCTCTTTTCTGTACAATCTTCCAATAACTAAGAGTGCTGCACGTATACAAGACTCTAATGTAGTAAGTTTCAATATAATTGTGAAATTATCGCTGATTACAATAGTTTATTGTTATAAGTTTTAATAAAAAAATGTCTGCCCAGGAAAACATTTGATTGAAACAGCACATTTCAACAGAACGGCACATCTACATGTGTGCTAATTCAAAGCGCGCACATCAATAAATATACGTTTATACGATTTATATTTGTATTAAATGAATCTTGATTGACAGTGAAAATAAAATTTCACAATTTTGATTTGGTTTACAAGCAATATAAGACTACTGGACAATTCAAATACATCAGATTTTGTCCGTCATATTTTTGTACATGGAATAAAAGAAAACCTTCTGTATGTTACTTAGTAATTTTGGCTACTTGTCGTAAAATTATTATTTTTTCAATGAATGTTATTATTCAACGTAGATGGGGAAGGGAGAGGGGAGACTAAATTAAAATCCATAGAAATTTTTTTAAGCGTATGGGCTCCTTTTGAAGCTACAGGTTGTGCAAAATTGTCAGATTTTGTATAGATCCTTCATGGAAACTCATTTTTGTGTGATAAAAAGAAAACTTAACCACAGAATTTAAAGATAAAATATGAGAAGATAGCTCTTATAATGTGCTTTCAGAAAATAAAAATAGAAATTGGGGTCACGGGATTCGTTTTACTTCTACAAAACAAAATAGGTAAATTCATAACATATTCCTTTATGAAAGTAACTTGATCTGAGTTATCTCCCCTTAAATGGCAAAGATGAAAACAATTGAATCGAACAAAAAGTATTCTGTATTTGTAAGAAACAGTTGAAAAAATATTATAAAACAAATATTTTTTTTCATTTATTTCAAAAGTTTTGTAAATGAATTACATTCTTCTCTCGAAATTTTCCCATTTTATTAGAGATCTAGGTCGATTGTTTCCTGCTATTTCACAATCCAAGATGGTGGAAGACACCCGATCTACCTTAACTCGAATAATTCTGCCCCCTCTAGCGGCCTTTAGCCTATCGTTAATGCAGCAATCGGAGATTAGTCGGAGATCGGCGGAATATAACGACTGACATTATTCGGGTTAGATCTACCTTGGAAAAAAGAAAAAAAAGAAAAATATGAAGGAAAGCCCATGCGATTTTCTTCTATTCAAAATTCATACTTAGTACTTTATTTGCCCTTTAAATATTTCACAGATGAGTCTTTTGAACACGAAACGCGTGTCTTGCGAACACAATTTTAATCCTGGTATCTATGATGAGTTTATTAAAAGAGCATAAAACACTTCTAAATAATTCAATTCATTTGGTCAATTCTTGGTTGAAGAAACATGTTTTGTTGTCTTATTACTTACCATTTTAACCGATTGTGCTTACACATATTGAAGTTTTTCATAAGGTTCCTTAAAAGTATTCAATAAAATCATTGATCCGGCGCCTCGGGCCAATAAACTATACGCATAATGATAAATTTTCAATAGAAAATTAGGAGAAATAAAAGAACTTAGTGTAATGTATTATCAAATGACAAAATTACATTATGTATTTTACAAATATACGCTAGTTTACACACTGTTTTTATATATGTTGTGTACAAGTTATCATTTTGTACAAATTATAATTTGTCATAAAAAAAATTGTACAAATTATAATTTGTATTTTGAATTTGTACAATTACAATTTGTACAAAATTTGACAAAAATTCACTTGTAACATGTACAATAATTATAGTATGGATTTTGTTATAAAAAAAGCATTGATACACACTATAAACCTTATTTACAAAACACAAAAATAGTTCTGTATCATTTGTTTGAGCATGTGAGTGAATTATGGCATCGGGAATTGCACAACATCTTTTGCTTTTTTACATTTACATTTAGAAGTGCTGCACCCCTTTTACATTTACATGAAAGAAACCACTGACCACCAGTTTTTGAAAGCTTTTTAACTGTTTCACGTAGCAAACGTTGAAGCTCAGGAACCGTTGCTGCGAATAAAGATGTGTCTTTAACAGCTTCAATTTGATTTCTTGACACATATCATGTTAAAATTCCTACAGATGTTCCAATGCGGTACCCAAATTCTCCAGATTCAATAATTACACATAAGATATTTCGAGGATCAGTTGGGGCACGATCATAGACAAGACAAGACAAGACAAATACTAAAAAAGTCTAAACATTTGTTACATACAAAATATAAAGCTTAGTACTGAAGAATTGGTATAATGACATTATCCCCAACAGCAATAATTTCCGTTTCGTTTTCTTGGTTAGATATTCGACTTGGATCTGTTGGCCAGACAGCGCACGCTTCCAGGCACGTATGATTGGTGTTTCAACGTCAGTGTCATCCTGATTGTCACTGGTGCCAATTTCTATTACACTATCAGAATTGTCACTGGTGCCAATTTCTATTATACTATCAGAATTGTCACTGGGGCCAATTTCTATTACACTATCAGAACACTATCAGAATTGTCACTGGTGCCAATTTCTATTATACTATCAGAATTGTCACTGGGCCAATTTCTATTATACTATCAGAATTGTCACTGGTGCCAATTTCTATTATACTATCAGAATTGTCACTGGGGCCAGTTCTATAATACTATCAGAATTGTCACTGGGGCCAATTTTTATTACACTATCAGAATTGTCGCCGGGGCCAATTTCTTTTATACTATCAGAATTGTCACTAGGGCTTATTTTTATTATACTATCAGAGTTGTCACCGGGACAATTTCTATTGTACTATCAGAATTGTTACCGGGGCCAATTTCTTTTGAACTTCAGAATTAACTGGCATGCATGTACCAATTACATTTCCCGTCTCCACCTGGGTATTTTTGTATTTTGTAAATAACGTTCATTGTGTTGTCATTGAATAAAAATAATATAGTGTGTATCAATGCTTTTTTTTTAACAAAATCCATAGTATAAGTGAATTTAAGTCAAATTGTACAAATTGTAATTTGTATTTTGACTTTGTACAAATTGTAATTGTAATTTGTACAAGCAATTTTTGTAGAAATTACAATTTGTACAAAGTCGAAATACACAAATTATAGTTTGTGCAATTGTTTTGTACAAATTATAATTTGTACAAAATGATAACTTGTACACAACATATACACTGTGTTGTTTGCAACAGTTTTCATTATGTAAGATAAATTATGATTTTGTAGGAAACTATGCCGTTCGGAATCCCACTAATGGTAGCTGGTTATTAACTAGTCTTTACAGTCAAATCAAGGAACATATAGACACTGGTAAAATATGTTCGACAGAATTTATGCAAATCTTAAATGGTGTCTTGAAAGAAATGACGACAAAGAACTTCAAACCATCTGATACCACTTCACGATTGTACGGAGCATTTTCTCCTGGCTGTTATACGCACTGTCTGTCAAGGGATGTTCTCTTTCTGGAAAAGCAATACAAATAGAACTGTCGCTATTGTAACGTTTTCGCTCTGTGTTGCTATAGCATTTTCGATACCCTGAAGTGAAACTATGACCCATTGGCAAAACTAGACAATCCGTCAGACAAACTTATACTCGGCAATAAATACTATTTCAAATGACTGCTCCCTTGGGTCAACTCAACCCGTAATCCAATAGATATAGTTAAAAATGCGTTGTTTCAGTAGACAGAAATAACCAATTCATATAAAGTTAATGATTTAATGAAGTATTATGATCAGTTATAGACTTTCAATATTAATGCAAACTATATCTTTTTTACATGAGATCAACATACAATGAATAACATTTTAATAGTATGCAAGCTAGTGAGTAACTCTGGTCAAGTTCTATATACAAATGTATTAAATAAACAATCTTATTAACAAGTAGTTATAGAAATCTCTATAATTATATAAGCTGTGTCGACTTCTCAAATGTGTAAGTTGCGACTCCTGATTTTACTGTACTTTTGTGAAGATTCGACTTCGTAATATGTAAAGAATCGTTGGAAATTAATAATAATAATTTCTATACTATTGGTATTTCAAGTAAATAATATAAGAATCACTTTAACTGTAACTTTCTTAAAAGAAAAACTATGTTGATGCCTTATTTGAATAGCGACTTTAAAACTCGAGTCTGCGTCGTTGAGTCTCTGTATAAATATGAAATATCTTTATCTTTCCGACTTTTTGTGTACTTTTCAGTATATAATTTGTAGTCTAATCTTTAGAGTCTCTTATAATATGAAACTTATAAATCTATGTTTTACATAAAGTAAAACTCTGAGAAAATATTTCCTAACCTTTTGAAGTGAAAGCTTAAATTGTTAGCTACAGTGACGAAGGGATTTTAATATTTAGGCTTGTGATTGTAAGCAACCTTTTGCCACGGTAGTCCGATCACGACTAACGCTTTCAATAGCAGTCCAATATATATACAACAAAAAGACTTGAAAGACTTCGTATTGACGTCAAAAGCGACTCAAAAGACTCTATTTCAACGTAATATCGCTGTTCACGACAGTGCACTTTGACGGTTTACGGTAAGCGACTCAAGTGAACATGGCGGACATTACAAGGAAAAAGAGAGACTCTGAGTCTCTAGAAACTTTACCAGGTTAACTAATTCACTGAATATAAATATATATAGAGATTAAAACAACATTATACAATCATCAACAAATACATAAAGGTAGGTCCAGTATAAGGAAATTCCGTATTTACACTGTACAAAAATAAATAGAAAGGCGACTCATTTTCAGATGGGACTTGACGTTATTTTTATCTTTGCTCAAGTTACTGTTTATAAAACAATAATATTTTAAAAGTACTAAATATCTGAGATAACTTATTTAAATGAAAAGAAACATATTCAACAATTTGTAAGTATTCAATGCGGTTACACGGAGATTTAACTGTTGATAAAAAATAAAAAGGGGGGAGGGGACACATACTGTTGAACAATAAGGACGAAATCCGTTACATTGCCCCCTTCTTTAAAAAATTGTCCGACAAGTTTATTTACTAAAATTATTTTTATCATTAATAGATATAATACCTTTATAATATACATTTCTTCAAAATTGACTCACATAAATACAATAAATAAATGCACTTTATATACAAATATACATACTCTCAACTCACAACACTGTAAACAGGAATGAAACATTCAAGTTTCATTAATATTTTCTAAATAACCAATCCCTTCCCAAACTATCAAAAACTTTACCCAACCCAAAATTTTTCCTAAGTACTCTACCTTAAATATAAATTTTTACATAATAACTAATTTCTAAAAGCCAATAATTGTCCGAATATAAACACAGGTCTAATGGTAAAAATCGAAGTCCATATACTCTTCTTCTAGGTCCAAATTGAATTCTTCTTCTGTGTCTTTGTCCACCACTATTCTGCTATCTTCTGTAGTTTGAACTTCTTTCTCTATCTTTACAACTCTCCTTGTCTGGGTGGCTATTGTTATTAGCATGACCCGCCTATCCTCAGTTTGTGTAGATATTTGTTGTTGTTGTAGCTCCTCTGTTTGTGTCTCCTTTTCCTTCAAACTGCAAAAAGATGGGTCTTATATCCAAGTTTATAAACTGTGCCATCAGGCAGAATGCATGTTTCATCTTTCCTAATGGCACCATATCCCGTGGGCAATACACTGCCTGTGTATTTTCCCGTCTTCTTTGCCTTCTCAGCCACGACCATGCATTTAGATGCTTCATAAGAACATTGACAGCGGGAGGGTGGGGCCTGAAATCTGTCTTCAGGACAGACTTCATCCCGAATAGCAGGCAACTCCAAATGCCTACTATCCCTCATGATAGCTGTAGGTGTTTCTGTTGGGGCTGTCAAAATTGGTTCCTCTGGTACAATAATGGATGCTTCTACTATTAACTCTTCTACTGCCTGTCTAGTAGGCGAGTCAAACAGTTCAACCAAACTTTTCTTCACAGGCGACAGGGAGCAACCATAGTCTTCAATGCCCAAAGATATGCTACATGGTGATATTTCTGATAGTGGTGATATAGGTTTGATAGATTTAGTTAGAATTGGTGTTAATGGAGGTGTTCTTGGCCGGGTAATAGTAGAGTTTTCCTTGTTGTGTCTTTGATGAAAATTTGTAGTTGGCACTGTTGTTCTGGTAGGGGTTTCTGGTATGATCAGCTCTCTGTCCTTAGTCCTGGGGTTCATAATGTGTCGGTGCACATGCTTCTCATGATCAACCAAGCGAAACCTTTTACTTGTTGGCACTAAGTAAGAACAGAATCTACACTGTAGCATCTTCTTGGGATGTTTGTCCCTGACATGTCTTGTCAATTGTCTTCTCAGATTATATTCTGCACCACATTGGAAGCAGAAGAAAGTCATCTGAAGTATAAAAATACTATTTTGAGAATATATTCAATTTTAATACACAGCACAGTCGACCAGTACCCATTGCTTTCATACTTTGGTAAGTATTTATACTTAAATTTCTGTTTTTCATTCTATTTAAAAATGAAACACATTGCTTTTTATTAACACACAGCAAGAAACCTTGCTATGATAAATATACATGAACACAAAAAATGCGTTCTTTTTAATTATTCAAACACATTTACTATATTTTTAAAGTTCAAATACGAACTTGAAACATCTTTTATTTATTTTTCAGATCCCAGCGGCAACCACAGTGTCAACAGTATTGTCAGTGCTTTGACTCATTGTCAATTGACAAGTGTTTTCTTGTTCTTTTACCCAGTTTCGAACATCAACAAAGAATGGTTTTAGCCTATCATGATGCACAATTTGCATTTAAGACGTCGGTGTCTTTTTAAGCTTATATATTAAATCAGATATAATTTCCACAACAAAGTATGGGCCATCCCAATTCCTTTGCAACTTTGGACTCAGTTTTTGCTTTCTATTAAAAGTATAAAGCCATACTACATCGCCTGTCTTGTATGTGTTATCATATGCCTTAACATCATTCTGTCGTTTTTGTTTGTCACTATTTTTAGAAATATTTTGTCGTGCTTTAGCAGACACTTTCCATATGCCTTCCTGCATATTTTCAACATAATCATTCAGTGATCCTGTTTCGTCAGGGTATTTAATTTTCTGGGGATGGGGACCATATATCAAGTCAACTGGCAATTGTATTTCTCTGCCTAGCATAAGCATACTAGGACTAAACCTAGTCGTTTCATGTTCTGATGAGTTGTAAGCCATTAAAGCCAAGGGAAATTGCTCATCCCAATCCCTTTGATTTTTACTGATATATTTACTAATTGTATTTTCAAGGGTTCTATTATAACGCTCCACAAGACCATTGCTTTGTGGCCTAAATGATGTAGTCCTTGTTTTGTCAATTTTAAATTTAACACAAAGTTCCTTGAATAAACTAGACTCAAATTGTCTCCCTTGATCTGAATGCATTTGACAAGGTACTCCAAATCTACAGAAGAAATGGTTAACTAAATTATCAACTATGGTAGTAGTCTCTATGTCTGGCATGGGATACCCTTCTACCCATTTAGTAAAATAATCTGTTACAATTAAAGCATATTTGTTACTTTTATATGAAATTGGTAATGGGCCTATCATATCCAAGGCAACTCTTTCCATTGGAGCACCCACTTTATATTGTTTCATTTTACTTTTAGTTTTCCTGGGAGGCTGTTTGCGTGAATTGCAAACAATACAGTTTTGCACCCATTTGGTAATTTCGTCTTTATGACCAACCCAATAAAATCTATTTTGAGCTCTGGCTACAGTTTTGTGTATACCAAAATGTCCAACTTGTATGTTAGCATGTAACATTTTCATAATATTTTCTTTCCAGATTTCAGGGACTATGAATTGTAAATTACTTTCTTCAGTGGTAGCATTTATCCACTTTATTAGTACAATGCGATCCCGCTGAGACCAGTATTTTGTAAGTTTTACATCGTGTAAAGCCACATCGGCCCATTCAGGTCTGTTATTATTATCAGACTTGAGACGGTATAAATTGAACAACACATTGTCGCTCTTTTGAGCTTCAAACATTTCTTGATTTGTTTCATGCTCATACCACATAGCTGAGTCTGTTTTATTTGAAAAAGAGGTCTCTTGAGAGTCCTGCAATTTAGCCATTCTTAAATAGTCAACTGAAGTTTCATCGGAATTATCAATTTCTTTTTTATCCTGTTTTGAACAATAACTACATGGAAAACATTGTCTGCGAGACAAACCGTCTGCCTTACCATGTTGTCGACCAGGACGGTGACGAATTTCAAAATTATATGTGTTTAAGGTCTCAAGCCATCTGGCCATTTGACCTTCAGGATTTTTGAACCTGAGAAGCCATGTTAAAGCTCCATGATCTGTGCGTACTTTAAAATGTGTACCATAGAGATAGTGATGAAAATGTTTAATGCTTAATATTACAGCTAAAAATTCTCGTCTTGTTACACAGTGTTGTCTTTGCGCTTTACTGAGGGATTTACTGTAATATGCTACTACAACTTCTTTGCCTTCATGAATTTGAGAAAGGACTGCGCCGATTCCGAAACCACTAGCATCAGTATCTAATATGAATTGTTTTGTCATATTAGGGTAGCCTAAAATTGGCGCAGACATTAAAGTCATTTGGAGTTTCTCAAAAGCTTCATTACATTCTTTGGTCCAATCAAAAGTACAATTTTTCTCTGTTAATTTATGCAGTGGCCTTGCAATTTCAGCAATTTTTTTAATAAATTTGCGGTAATATGAACATGTTCCGAGAAAACTTCGAACATCTGTCATTGATTTAGGCAATGACCATGTTTTTACACAAGCAATTTTATCAGGGTCTGTTGCTATACCCTCACTTGAGACAATATTTCCGAGGAAAGAAACTTGTTTCTGAAACA